CTTAACCTAAGTCTAGAAAAGTATCACTGTCTAACCTTTGTTACAGCAGAGGACCTTAAAACACTAACTCTGATTACCTGCTTGCAAATAATCTGCTGTTATTGTGCAGGATTTAAAATCCTGATGTTAAGTGATCCAGAGAAAAATATCTCCTGAGACTTCATAACCATAATAAGTAAGCCCCTACATGAGTCTGTGGTCTAAATTTATGCTAACTATGTAGTCCAAAATAATTCAAGCAAATTAATTTAATTTAGAGTGGTCTCAGGTTGGACGTGCCCCCCCAGGCAACTCATAAAAGTTAATGCAAATTCTCTCTGGAGGAACTCAACTTCAATCTAGGCCTCAAAGCAATTCCACAGGTAAAGGTCCAAAAAAAATGACTGGCTCACAGATAAATAGCACAGGAAAAAAATGCACCATGAATGAAAACCAGCAGAAATAGTATGCAGTAGAAATAGACTTGCAAAGTCTTCAGATATTGCAGTTATCTGACACAGAATATAAGATTATTAAGTTTTATAAGTTTAAAGATTTAATTTTTTAAAATTTATTTATTTTTGGCTTTGTTGGGTCTTCGTTGCTGCGCACGGGCTTTCTCTAGTTGTGGCGAGCGGGGGCTACTTTTCACTGACGTGCGCAGGCTTCTCCTTGTGGTGGCTTCTCGTGTTGCGGAGCATGGGCTGTAGGTGTGTGGGCTTTTAGTAGTTGCGGTTCATGGCCTCAGTAGTTGTGGATCACAGGCTTAGTTGCTCCACAGTGTGTGGGATCTTCCTGGACCAGGGATCAAACACGTGTCCCCTGCATTGGCAGGCGGATTCTTACCTGCTGTGCCCCCAGGGAAGTCCAAGTTTTATAAGTTTAAAAAAAAACAAACAAGAAGTTCTAAAATAGGTAAGAAATTCAAGTCATTTGGGCTCAAAAAGAATAAAATAGAACTTCCAAAAAATGAAAAAAGAATACCATACTGTGTTGACTATAAAATAAGATTGATCATAAGATGAGCCATAATTTTATGTGTCGTCAAAAATACTGACAATTGTCATTCAAGATGCCACCAATTATAAGATGCTCCTGGATTTCAGGGGTGTTAAAATCTGGAAAAAAGTTGTTTTAGAATCGATGAACTGTGTAAGTTGAACGTTAAAATTTAGGAGATTGATTAAAATACATATTAAGCTCAGCTGATGAGAGAATCAGTTAACTGGGCTAAAGAAACAATATTCAATACAAGTAAATTATCCAGATTGTAGCCCAGAGATACAACGAAATAGAAATATAACAGAATGACTAAGAGTCTTGGAGGATAGAATGAGAGCACCTAGCATATACTACATCAAAATTCCAGAAGGTAATAAAGAGACTGGGAAAAAGCCAACGTTAAAAAGTATAATGGGGGGCTTCCCTGGTGGTGCAGTGGTTGAGAGTCTGCCTGCCGATGCAGGGGACGCGAGTTCGTGTCCCAGTCCGGGAAGATCCCACATGCCACAGAGCAGCTGGGCCTGTGAGCCATGGCCGCTGAGCCTGAGCGTCCGGAGCCTGTGCTCTGCAACGGGAGAGGCCACAACAGTGAGAGGCCTGCGTACCACAGAAAAAAAAAAAAAAAAAAAAAAGTATAATGGGGGCTTCCCTGGGCACAGTGGTTAAGAATCCACCTGCCAATGCAGGGGACATGGGTTCAAGCCCTGGTCTGGGAAGATCCCACATGCCACGGAGCAACTAAGCCCTTGTGCCACAACTACTGAGCCTGTGCTCTAGAGCCCATGAGTCACAACTACTGAGCCCGCGTGCCACAACTACTGAAGCCTGCGTGCCTAGAGCCCGTGCTCCGCAACAAGAGAAGCCACCACAAGGAGAAGCCCGTACACGGCAATGAAAAGTAGCCGCCTCTCGCCACAACTGGAGAAAGCCCGCGCGCAGCAACAAAGACCCAACGCAGCCAAAAAAAAAAAAAAAAAAAGTATAATGACTGAGAAATTTGTGACAATAGTGGAGAGGGAGCTGTCCCCAGGTACAGTAATCCAATCTCAAGCAGGATAAACCAAAAGAAATTTATACTTAGACACATTATACATGTGTCTAAATGATTACCTTTTAACAGCAAAAGTGATAATGTTTTCGATGTGCTGAGAGAAAAACAATAATCAACCTAGAATTTATAACCAGTGAGACTCTTTCAAGAATGAAAGCAAATAGGGACTTCCCTGGTGGTCCAGTGGTTAAGACTCTGTGCTCCCAATGCAGGAGGCCCAGGTTCAATCCCTGGTCAGGGAACTAGATCCCGCAGCTGCAACTAAAATAAAAAGGAAGATCCTGCGTGCTGCAACTAAGACCTGGTGCAGCCAAATAAATAAATAAATATTTAAAAAAAGGAAGCAAATAAAGAATTTTCAAACAAATAAAAACAGAGAGCTTCACTAAAGAAAATTTAAATATATACTTCAAGCAGGAGGAAAATGATCCTAGTTACAAGGTATTTTCTTTTAGGAGGAAGATCAAGAACTCTAGGGTTGAGAGACCTCTATCTACTCTTCAGGGGACATGTTTGCTTACCTCTCAGGTAAGTTTGCTTTTACTTGTTTTACTTCTTTTTGGAATCTGTAGATTCTTACTTTCATGCCAGCCCAGTGAGGTGTTAAGAAAAGTTGTTATTAAAAATATTTTATCTAGCATTTTAGTTATTTCATTTGGGCAGGATTGCCCACTCACCTGTAGGAGATGAAAGTCCTTCTAACAACTTCTTTAGGTTAACTCTCCCTGCCTTTTCAGTCTACATGGAGTCCATGTTACCCATCCTCCTGGCATGTTGTACCTTCCCCTTGTAGCACATACATCAGCTATATTTTCACACTTATTTTTATGCTCTTTAACTTAATTGTCTACTTACCCCATTAGAAATCTAAGGGCTAGGTCTGTATTGCTCTGTTTTATTCCCACACCTTAACAAGTGCTTGGCCCATAGTAGGTATTCAGTAAACATTTATTGAGTAAATAATGTCTACTTAATTAGATATTTTAATGTCTAAAAGTAAAATTAATTAATGAGTAATTAATTTTGAGTGAGAAGCCAATATTAGGTATTAGATCAAATACAGCTGTGTGTCTCTGCTTCAGATCCAGCCTTGGAGACAGTACTCAGGGCTGGTGAATTCCCATAGAACTATGCTGTCTAATATGGCAGTCATTAGCCACATGTGGCCATTTAAATTATTACAATTAATTAAAATTTAAAATTCCTCACTCACACTCGCCACTGGTGGCTATCCTATTGGATACTGTAGACATAGAGCATTTCCATTATCATAGAAAGTTCTGCTGGAAGTGCTGCCTTAGAATTCTCAAGAATTCTTAACTGCTCCTCTGTCTCTCTTTTGCTCTTGCTCTCAGTCTTTCTTTCTCTCTCTCCCCACCTCTAAACCAAGTGCAGGGATTGTCTTATTATTACTGACTTATAATGGTGCTTTTGAACAAGAAGATGCTGGGTACTTTGGGTGACTAGCACCATCTCACTTTTCTTTCTTTTAAATTCCTGAGCTATTGTTTACTAATACATTCTTTTATTCCTATTTCTAACTGAAGCTGAATGTTACTTGGGTAGAAAGCCTAATTGCTTTCTTTTCTAGGTCCTTAAACCCTTTGCTAATGTTTCAGTCTGAGAGTTCCCAAAGCCAGGGTTCTAGGAGAGTTTGGCATGTCTGAACAGCTGAACTACGAGATAATGGAGTAGGTCCAGCGGGGTGTGGGAGCAGGGCATTCTCTCAATAAAAGAGCTCCCCTCTCTGTACACATGGCCGGTTAATTGGCCATTCTGGGAAAGCATGGATGGGGAGGGGGGGCTTCTGAGAATCGCCAGTGACAGTTAAGTGGCCTTTTGTTGATGTCCTCTGCTGAACAACTTTGTTGGATTTAGTCTCTGCCTTTCCTCCACCTCCTGCAGATTTTCTGTTAGATTCATCGTTTACCATTCAGGCATCATCTTTCACTTTCTCCTTCTAATATGACTGCTTTGTGTGCTGGCCTCTGCTTTATTCCTACTGTTCCCACACTGTAAAGGGGGCTGTGTGGGGCTTCAGCAGCACTGAGAAATTGACTCTGCTCTCTGTTGAGAACTATAATAATGACTGCAGTGACCTTCATGTATAGCAGAAAATGCACTACCTATCCTGGCATAATGGTAACCACCTGAAGATAGAGAAAAGGGACTCTTCACTGAATTCCTTCTCATAGAATAGACATTTCCTTTGTTCCCCTCTCCATTTTCTTCTCTCCCCTTCTCTCCACTGCAACTGGAGTCCTGAGCTAAGATGCAGCTGTGACTAAGAGCTAATGCTTTGAGATAATGACATTACATTTTGCAGGCTTTGTCAAGCCAATTCACCCCAGTTGTCTCATCTAATGCCCCCCAAGAATCCTGTGAAGCAGGGAGGAGAGATTTTATTAACCCCGTTTGATTGACTGATGAGTAAATTGAGACTTAGAGAGATTAGGTCAATTGCCCCAGACCTTTTAGACAGGAAATGAGCACCGGCTCTGTGTCTAAACACGGCATTGTTTCAGTGGTGTCCACATCCTTATGTGCAAGGAGGATATGTGTGAGTGGATGGGGAGGGAGAAGGAGCACAGAGAAAGATGAGGAAGAGGGAGGAAAGGAGTGGTTTCCTTTGGCCTCTGGCTTCTCTCATCTTTCTCTGGAGATGGAGGATTCGATGTTCACGAGAGGCTGGCCCAGCAAACCTCTGGGGAGGAAAACAGCTAAAGGCCTTGTCTTCCTCTTTCCCTCCCCTCCTCCCCTTCTCAGGAGAAGACTCACCTAGGAGTGGGGAGGGGCGCCCCAGCTCTCCAAGACCTGGCGTGTGGGAATCCCACGCAGTGTCTCCCCAGAGAGAGCCTAACGCACATTCTCGGGTCTGGCCTGTCGGCCTGTAGGTGCTCTGCTGTCCTGAGGCCTGGCCGTGCCCGTGCACGAGGAGAACCCCTGAAGTTCGCCTGGAGGAAGAAGCATGCAGGGCTTCCCCAGAGGAAGTGTGGGCCGAGGGCTGTCCCCTGTGGACAGGCAGACGCTCCTGGTCTGCAGCTTTGTCCTGGCAGCAGCTTTGGGCCAAATTAATTTCACAGGGTGAGTGGCTGCTCCTTAGCGGGAGGGAGGATTGCTGGGAGCCAGGTGACCGGGTGGCCAAGCGGGACCTGATCAAGGTGAAGGGATTCAGGATTTGAGTTCCCATCCTGAACCCACTTCCAACTCCGTCACCTCTCAATTTCATGTGAGAGGGCAGGACGCGCAGCTGTATTATTGTCCCTCCCGCAACCTAGAGTTCTTAGTCTGGACTCCAAGGGTAAGCTTTCAGGGCTCCAAGAACCCCCTGAAATCATATGTAAAATTTTTTGTGTATCTACTTTTTTTCTGGAGGAAGTGTTTGTAACTTTTCTCTGATTCTTAAAAAAGTTATAACCCCCCAAAGACTACGTACTCCTAACGTATGGGTGTGGTATTGTCTTCCTTTGAGTAAAAATAAGTATGAGTATTATATACTCTCTACGGACATGATTTCTCAGCTTCCCAAAGATCCCGCAAGGTAACCACTCCATAGTATTTCCATAGTAGAGAAGAGGAGACACAAGCTTAGAGAGGGGGTTCATAATCCAGGGTGTCAGAGCTGGTCAGGGAGGGAGCCATCGTCATCCCAGGCTCAGACCCCAGAGGTCACACTGCAGGCTGCTCAGTTACATGACCTCCCCACCCCTCTGGAGGGACAGGAAGGAGCTCAGCTTCCCCCTGTGAGGTAGTGTGAGATTGATCTCTTCCATGTCCTGCGGCTCTTGGGAGAAGGCAGGAGAGGGCACGGGGCTGGGGGCAGACATGGCCTTGGGCCCTTGTATGAAGAGCACATGGGGCCACCATTGGTGCCCCCGACTCCCTGTGTCTGTTCCTTTCTCTCCTTTATTCCTTTTGTTCTCCCTCCCTCCTCCATCCCCCACATTCCTTTCCCATCCTGTTTCCCCTGTCTTAGCATTGGGTTCATCAGCGGCACTGACAGGCTTTTTTATATTTAGTCCCCTGGGTGGTCTGTCCTTGGGGCTGGAGAGACCACTGGTCCTGGGCTAAAGGGCTTTCCTGCTTCCCAGGGCTACAAGTCCTTCTGCTCAGGGGCCCTCTAGCCTCCCGGCTGTCCTGCCAGGTCCCCACAGTCTGGCCTCTTTTCCACTCTGCCTCTCCCAAGCAGCACAGTCTTCCAGAAATCCCTCTGAACAGCTCCCTCCACCCTCTCTGTGTCTTTCCAGTGACCAGGTTCTTTGAGTCCTGGCTAAAAATGAGAAGCAACTTTCACTTCTTAGAGATCTGGAGGGCCTGAAGCCTCAGAAGGTGAGGACTCCACAGGGCTTGGGGACGAGTTCTCTCCTCCCTCACAGCAGCCTGCACCTTTGGCTCCGTGTCCTGCTTCCCCCACCCCAAACCTGCCCTCTGGGTGTGTCTGCCAAAGATCACAACACTGTGGAAAAATCAAGTGTGCCTCCTCTTCAAAAGAGGTTGGGAACACTCACCTGGAAGGTTGGGTGGCCCTTCTTGGCTTTCCCTTCTGTCCTGTAGGGGGGCTGCTCTGAAAATGGCTGGAATGTCCTGAAGCCATACGAGAGGTACATGTATCTCTGGGTGGTATGCCATGCAGCATGCAGACTGGACACATCTGTTTCCCAATTGCAATGGCTTAGCTTGGCAAACCTGTGTTTTATTTGGGTTCGTCCCTGTCAGCCTAAGCATTGGTTTCTGAGAACATTTGTCCTCAGCAAGTATTCCACAAAGGAAAACATTTTCTTCAATAATAGAAGGGTTTTGTTTGAGGGCTGTTGAAACAACCGGATATTTCTGGATGTGGCCCAAAGCCCACGTTCCTATTTGTTTGAGTGCCCCTATCAACCAGGACTCAGAAAACTTTATAGTAAGTCTCTCCATTTTACAAACTGAAAAATAGACATGGCAGTCAGATGGCACAGGGATCCAGATCAGGCCTCTCCTACCCCTTTGGGGTTTAGGGGCAGTGATGTCTCCCTCTTCTCACCAGGGTTCTTGTCCATGTTAATGTTCCAGATGATGAGCCGTCTCATCTTTAGAAATTATTTTGGGCTCTTTGCATCCAGGCGAAGTTACATTTTGTGAGTGAAGCTGGGAGATGAGGTGCTTAACATCAGGGAAGGAAACTCAGTGACTTAGGGATTTTGTTTGTCCCTGTCTTTCTGCTCGGCCTTAGGGGTTTCATTTTGGAACTGGGGCCCTTTCAACTGTATAAGAGAAGAACATCTGGCCCTCCAGGGTGCCTACAGGATTGTGTGATAAACATGCCCATTTTTTTCTCCTTTGTGATCAAGGTGGACTTCTGGCGTGGCCCAGCCAGGCCCAGCCTTCCTGTGGATATGAGGGTTCCTTTCTCTGAACTGAAGGACATCAAAGCTTACCTGCAGTCTCATGGCCTTGCTTACAGCATCATGATAAAGGACATCCAGGTGAGGTCCTGCCCCAGCGCTGTGGCTGGGGTCTCACCTTCATATCCTGTTTTGGTTTGGGCCCAACATGGAGAAAGAACATCCAGGGCTAAAATGGACGTTTTCTTTCTGGAGTTTCATCTGCATTTTTGTGAACCTACCATGGAAAGAATGAGACCTCACACTTCTCAAGGAGAATTTAAATCTAAGACAGACTTCATAAGTCATAGTATGGTAATGGCAGGGTAGCTTGTGGAGTCCTCTTTTTTTTTTTTTAATTAAAAATTTTAAAAAATTTATACAATTTTAAAGGTTACTTTCCATTTACAGTTATAACAAAATATTGGCTATATTCCCCGTGTTGTACAATACATCCTTGAGCCTGTCTTACACCCAACAGTTTGTACCTCCCACTCCCCAACCCCTATACTGCCCCTCCTCCCCCCACTGGTGACCACTAGTTTGTTCTCTATACCTTTGAGTCTGCTTCTCTTTTGTTATATTCACTAGTTTGTTGTGTTTTTAAGATTACTTGTGGTTTCCTCTTATGGAGGAATTTGTAGTTCATAACAAAGGAGGAGACAGGAGAGAAGGGAGACAGGAAGAAATAGCTCAGGTCTTCTCTAGGCACCATGGGGAGGGAGGCACCTCTTCTGGATGGCTCCTTTTGCTTTTCTGACTGCTCCCTCCTGTCCCTGTTGTGTCTCAGCCATTTGATAGCAGGGGATTCCTTCACTCCAGAGAGGCAGGAAGAGGTGAGAGAAGCCAAGTGTGAGCCCTGCTGCGGTTTCCCTCCCCCAACCTCCACTGCAGGGCTCTCAGTACTGGGGGCCTCTCCCAGGCAGGATTCTGCCAGAGGAACAGCTTTGGGAGAAGCAGCTGCAGGCCTGCCCTTGGGGAGGGCGAAGGGAGACTTCATCCCAGGCACCTGCCCTCACTCGTTGCTGCACCTTACAGCGTCTTTTCTGAATGTCGTGAAATTCTATTTTAATTGTTCTGTCTTCAAGGATATCCCAAGGAGTCTCTTTCCTAAATCGATTCTTTCGGGCATCGCTGGGTTAGACCTCTCTGGCTGCACCCCTCCGCAGACGCCGTCGTGTACCTGTAGATTTGTATCCACGTAGATTCCTGCGCAGCCACATTGTGCTGCAGCTAATCTCCTGTAAGGGCTTTGCGTGTGGGAATACACAGTCCCCAGAGCGCACACACTTGACATCACATACCGTTAGGTGCATTCCTTCCCCTGTAAGCACGGGCCTGGGACACTGCGGTCCATTCAAAGACCTTTCTTCCTCCTCAGGCACATCTGTTTCCCGCTCGACATTTCCCTAATTAAACCCCCCACAAACAAAAATGGGGAAACTCCCACAGACAAGAGAGGCTACCACATCAAAAGACTTAGTGCTCAATTCTCATTTTTCACCCGTGCCTGCATTTTGAAGTTTGCATTTCCCTGCTTCTGTCCTGCCCTGGAGACCCTGCAGCATTTGGCAAAGAGATAGGAAGAGGTCTCTGACATTTTTCTGTTGATTTCTGCATATCAGGAATGGACCCGGAGGCACCTGTGAGTCTCCCCCGCTTCACCAGCTCCTCTGGAACTGTCCTCTCCTGTCATCCCCGGCCCCTGGATTCCCTTCGCTGGTGGGAAACGGGGAGCTTTTCATGCCCTCTCAGTAAAATGCCCTCGACTCCGGGCCCTAACCCAGTCTGGCAGGATTTTCACCAACAACTTGCTCTGTCGGCAACGCATCAAGCTCTGATTGTTATACTTGAGATCACATTTTGGCTCCCAGGGAGCTGGGGCTGGGAGGAGGCTGCTGTGTTGAGTTGATTTGTGGTGATGATGGGGAAAGGTGTCTAGGAGGAGGGAAGCTCAGAGGTGCTAACAGGAGGGAAGGGCTTTGCACCACTCAGGTTGTTGGCCTCCAGTCTCATGTTTTAGTTATTGACGCACAGACCTGGTTGCCTTCTGTCTTCTGGATCACCTCACCCCAGTGTCTGGCATAGTGTCTCCTGCATGGTGGGCCCTCAACCACTGTGTGCTGAATGAATCGTTCTGTTGGCAGGTTCAGGAGGAGCATGCCCGGAGAGAGACCTGGCTAATATGCTGGTCTTTGTCTCCAGAGCCCCCTCCCCTGAGCCCCTCAAGGTACAGAATCATTTGCCTTATCTATCTTTATATTCCCAGCACCTACCATAGGGCCTGCCACTTAGGCGGGGCTTAGTAAATGTTAGTTGACTTAATGGACATGAGAAGGAGAGGGAAGAGGAGAGAGTATGCTTGCTTGTTAGTACCAGGCTGAGAGAAAGTGTGAAAAACCTTGGTGCCAGCTTTTACTTTGGCCAGAGGTGCTGGAGATTTTTGAGGAAGGGAAGTGCCCCCCTGCCACTCCTGCCTTGTGATCAGAGGGATGCTTGAGATCTGCTTATTCATTCCACCCACAGATGCAGATACCTACTGTGTGCCGGGTATTGGGCAAGGCACTGGAAAAACAAAGATGAAAAAATCTAGTCACTGGATCCAGGGGCGCTTGAGTGCTGTGGGGATGGGAGAGTTGAGGGGAGTAAATCAGTGATTACAATGGAGTGGATGATGCGCTGATGGAGTGGAGCAGGTTGCTATGGGAGCGAGTATAAGAGGCACTGCGTGTCGCTCCGAGAAGGCGGTAATTACGGTGTGGCTGAAGAGCGGGAGGGGGGGGTGGGGAGGGGAAGGGGCCTATGATTGGCACTGAGGCCAGACCAGAGCACAAAGGGCATCCTCCACCAGGTGAACAAGTCAAGATAAAATCCCGAAAAGCGTGGGGGAGCCATCGGAGGGCTCTGACATGATCAGATTTGCATTTTAAGAAAAATCGCTCTGACAGTGACAATGTTGACAATGTTGAGGTGGGGACAGGAACAGGGAGAGACTGACAGACAGGAGGGTGGTGAGGAAATTGCAGTGGGCCGGGGAAGAAATTATCTGATTCTGAGTGAGCTGTATTTGCATTTAATTTTTCTTCACCTCCTCATTCTTTTCAGCCCTTTGGTTTTGTTTTGTTTTTTTTCCCTGGGATGAGTCACCATGGAAAAGCTTCACTTGAGCAATCAGCTCTGTGGATTTTAATGGCTTTTTTCTGATTACAAAATTAATAAATATTCATGGCAGATAATTTGGAAAATAGGGGAAAGCACAAAGGAGAAAATAAAAATCACCCATTCTCCGAGCACGCTCTAGAGCAAAATACAATTTAGTGTAAATACTGCTTCTCCAATTTTCCCCTTTCTCCTGGATCATTCCCATTAGCATACAAATTTAGAGTTATTTCTCTCATCTTAAAAACGTCCTCTCTTGATCCTTTCCCCCACCTCCAGCTATCACCCCATTTCTCCTCTTCCTCATAGAGCGAAACTCCTGGAAATATTGACTGTACTTACCATCTCCATCCCTCTCCTTGGGTGGACTGTCCACCGCCTTCTTCACCTCAACTGCCCTTGACAACGTCACACACAGCTCCTAGGTCCAACTCAGCAGTCAGCTCTGAGTGCAGTGTCCTGTTCTTTCATCTTTCAGCCTGACTGGTCACTCTCTCCTCTCTGGAACACGTCTCTCCTTCTGGCTTCCACGACACTACACTCTCCTGGTTGTCCCATCTTACTGGCTGCTCCTTTGCATGTTGTTTCCCTGTTTCCCAGCTCTGTCCTTTGACCTCTCCTCTATCCCCTCATCCAGGATCATGGCATTGAATACCTTCAACCTCCTGAATACTCCCATATTTATAGCTCCAGCCAGACTTATATATCCGACCTGAACTCCAGACTGACGTATCTGACCATCTACTTGGCATTTCCACCTAGGTGTCTAATGGGCATAGCAAACTTCACAGGTACAAACCTAGCTCCCCTGGCCACTCCCTGGCCTGCTCCTCCATAGCCTTCCCCAACTCAGGAAATGGCAGTGCCATCCTCCCGTCACTCAGACAAGAAACCTGGAGTCATCCTTGACTCTTTTCTCACATCCCACAGACAGTCCATTAGCAAATCCTACCAGCTCTCCCTTCAAAATATATCTTACCACATCCTATTCTATCACCACAGGTCGACACCCCATCAGCCTTCACCTGGATTATTCTGGTAGTTTCCTAACGGTTCTCCCTGATTCCACCCTTGCCTCCTTATTGCCTAGCCTCAAAACAGCAGAGGTGACCTTTAAAAATATGCAAGTCCTATTATGTCACTCCTCTGCTTAAAACCCTCAGTGTCTCCCCACATCATTCAGAGTAAAACCCAAAGTCCTTAAGACTGCTGTAAGGCTCTACACGATGCAAGCCCCACCCCACGTCACTGGCCATTCTCCCCTTGCTCACTCTGCTCCAGGCACTGGAACCTGCTTGATGTTCCTCCAGCTTGCCTGACCTATTCCTGCTTCAGTGCCCTTGACTAGGATCATACCTCAGGGCCTTTGCACTTGCTGGTCCTTGTAGCTGGAATGCTGCTTCTACAGATACCGGCATGGCTTATTCCCGCACTACTTTCAACACTTGATTCACGTATCAACTTTTCACCCTATTTTAAGTTGTACCCTTCTCCTCCCACACTCCCCCAGTTCCCGCCCTCACTTTTCTCCTTGGCACGTACAGCGTTCTAATATCCTATATGATTTACTTATTTGTCTTGTTTGTTGTCTGTCTCCCCTACCAGACTGTAAGCTCCATGAGGGCAGGCAATTTTGTTTTGTTGGCTGCCATATCTTTAGTGCCCAGTGTGTGCTTCACAAACACTGGTCTGCTGAGTAGAAGAGATTAAAAAGTGGGAAAGGTGTTGGCTGGGTGGCAGCTCTAAAGAGGAGAGGAAGACAGGAATAGGCAAGGAAAGGAAGGAATCATGGGTAAGGCCCTGAGGGAGAGCCAGAGTCTGGCTGCATGGGGATAGGGGGCTGAGGAGGGTTGGGGGTAGGGGTTGGGAGACAGGGTCAGCAGAAGGACTAGGCCCCTCTTTTGGTCCCAGGGAGGGGCAGGGGCTGCCTGACTCACCCAAGTGACCACTAATGGGGTCACCTGCTGTCCAAGTCCTGCAGACACCACTTCTCCCTGGAGGAACCCAGATTTCCTGGTCACGCCCTGTAATGATTATTCCACCAGAGTCCTGGCGTCACCCAAGAGTCACTGTTGTTGTCCTGTCGTTGTCATGATCATCATAGCTGGCATTTACTGCATGCTGGGCAGCGTTCTAAGCATTTTACATGTATTCACCCTTCTAATCCTCACAAGAACACTTCAAGTATGTGTGAAAGTACATGGTAACATGACCCCCATTTTATGAATGTGCAGAGAATTTCCTAATTTAGGAGACTGAGGCACAGAGAACTTTGCAATTTGCCCAAGTTAGTGAGAACGTCAGGATTTAATCTGAGACAGCCTGACCCCAGGCCCTGGACCCTTTACGCTTGTGCCGTCTGCCTTCTCAAGCGGTGTCGTTGTTCGTATGGCGTTTTAGCTTTGCCTTTTGGGCAGGGAAGCCCCGGTTCGGTCTTGAATTCTGAGGGGTCCATTCCAACAGCCCCAGATCTGTACCCCCTCACCCGCCATCCAAACGTAGGCATGGACTGTAACTGCCACCGGCCATGCAGCTGCGACTGCAAATGTTAGGCCTGGAAGAGGAGGCCAGGGATGCATGAGAAGAGGTGACTGCCCTCCTCACAGAGCGGACATTAGAGCCCATCTCCTGCCCGCCACCACTGTTTCTGTGAACTTCGTCCATTTTACGTCTGTGGTTGGAGTGAGCTGTGAATGCAGATTCCCCTCAGGCGTCATCTTCACCGTTATGATCAGCTTCCCCCAGCCCCCCACCTTGGAGGTGCTGTTCTTAATGTCCCCATCCTTCCTTGCTCCTGTCATAAATTAATTACACCGAGGTATTACTTTCCCTGTCAGCTTACGGCTTCCAGGGAGGCAAATGGCTTACTTCTGAGTCTTTTTTTTTTCTCTGAGAAGCCTGACAGGGCTGTAATTAGGCAAGCCTGCGGCAAGTCTGCATTCTTAGTTCTCCCATCCCCTTCCCTCAGCCCTGTGAAGGGAGCAAACATCTGCGTATTTTTCAGGCCAGGGTAGATTAATGTTCCTGGAATCAAGGGCCCAGCTGTGAGGGCTGAGCATTCCCAATTTGTAAGCGGGTGTCATATCCATTCACAAGGCTGTGAGCGTGTTTGGAAAGTTATTTGCAGTTTAGTGCCGACTTCCCATTTGCCTTCAAGCTGTTGTGTGGAACAAAGGACAGCCTTACGGGAGCTCTCTTCCTGTGGGTGTCCCTGAGCTGTGGGGAAAGAACTGGGTCCTCAGGTCCTATCTTCCCAATTTTTCTTCCCTCTCCTCCACCTTCACTCACCACCTCCATCCCTAGGAAGTTAGATGTATGGGCCCTTTAACTTTACGGCGTTGGGGCCCTGACCCCGGGTGCGTTGGCCTGACCTGCTCTCTGCTCTGCAGCTGCTCACTGCAGCTGGTCATGCCCGGCCCACAGTGAGGGACACACATTGGTCATGGAGGCTGCTGAGATTTCCGTTGATTTTCTGGGAAGAAGACAAATTTCCTTTGTTAGAGCTTCCCAGGCTGGTGCTTGTGCCAGTGAGGATCAGGGCTCCTTCAGCCATCTCTAACTAAACCAGCAATCCCAGCGTTGCCCAAGTGGGAACGTCCCCAGCCCAGCGAGTTCAGCTAGAGAACATTGCAATTACAAATGCCTAGCGTGTAGTTGGTGCTCAAAAAGAGAATGAAATGAGCCCCAAACATTGACTTCCAGTCCCATTTAAAAATCTGTGAACTTGAGGGCTGTGAGCAAGCCGGCAGGGGCGATGGGGTGAGCGTGTCATCTGATAGTGGCCTCGGCTGCAGCGGGCAGGGCGGGACTGTTTCTTCTAGCCCTGGGACTGAAGGTGCCATGGCTGCTGCTTTATTTTTAGCCATTTGGGTGTTTTGTCTTTGTTTTAGTATTATTTATTCATTTAGAAGATTTTCCTTATTGAAGTAGTGTGAGCACGTTGCCAAAATGCAAAAATAGAGAAAAGGAAAAATTGCTTGAAATCATAATCTTTCTCTCCTAACAGGCATTTTGGGTTTTTTTTTTTTGACATTTTACTGTGTTGTTTTCCTATGCTTGGGGTATTGCCTTTTCATTATTTTAAAGCATTTTTAAATTACAAGAATAGTATGATGGACTTTTCACCTGTTGTTCATATTTTATATGTGTGCTTACTCTTTCTCTCTCTATGTACACACACACACACACACACACAGACGTGTGTGTGTGTGTGAGAGAGAGAGAGAGATTCTTATTAGCTTTTAGTTTTGATAGCTAGCCGGCCTTAAGGAACATAATGTTAGAAACTAGGATATCTGGGTTTTTATCTCACCTCTGCCCCTAGTTAGCTTTGCTATTAAGTCTCTTTGCCTCTCTAATTTGCTTTTTCTCTGAAACGTGAATAGTTAATTCTTGCCCTGTCATCAGGTCATCTGACCAGATCAGCCGAGATGATGAAGCAAGGCATTATCAGGATTTACTTGTGACCCAGAGCTGCAAACCAGAGTGACTCTGGGTTGACGGCCTCTGCTTTCCCAGCACCCCTGTGGCAAAGGGGCCCAGGTACCTCCCATGCTGCACAGGCAGGGCTGAGTCCTGGGGTGCTTCGGTCCCTGGGTGTCAATGTAAGGGTATGAGCTTAGGGTGAAGGGCACCTGCCCACCTCACTGAGTCCCGAGCTGAGAAAAATGCCCCAGGATGATGTGGGAGGTCAATTCAACCCAGGCACTGTACTGCCCTCTCTGTGGGAAGTACCACATGAGGATTGTGTGCCAACTCCAAATTGCCACTCAAGGAAGGACATTACTTTGGCTCATCTGTACTTGTGTTTAAGAGGCAGTTAAGATGGTGAGTGACAGACTGTTGGCACATTAAGTACAATGATTTGGACTGGCTTTTCGAATGGCTTGGACATCAGCTGTCTGGGCTACTTCCTGGGGCAGAGTGCATGCTGTGGGTCAGGGGAGCCCTCTGCTCCCCCAGGGGTCAGTGTACATAGTTCAGCTTGGGCTTTGGCTCAACAGAGTGTTCACAGAGGACAAAAGCAATGTTGGCAGTAGCTCATGAGCATCTTTTCCAAGACACTTTTATATCTTTTATTACATTTTATCCTTTTGAGATGGGCAAGGCAAGTCCCAATTTTAAAGCTGAGGAAACCAAGATCAAGGTTCCACAGCAAGTTAGTGGCAATGGCACACTTAGAACCAAGTTCTCCAGACTCCTTGTCCTGTGCTCATCTGGGAAATGGCAGCATGAATGCCAGCTTGCCAAGCGGAAGAATCACCCAGCAACCTGGCATCTCCTCCTTTTGTGCAGTTCACACTCACAGCGGCTCATTCTCGCGTGTCGATGCTGTGTTTGTGCAGCCAGCTGAGGCAGGGCCTCAGAAGAGACATGCCTGGCCCAGCCTCCTCTTCCCTTCCTAGGTGCTGCTGGACGAGGAGAGAGAAGCCATGGCGAAATCCCGCCGGCTGGAGCGTAGCACCAGTGGCTTCAGTTACTCCTCGTATCACACCCTGGAGGAGGTGGGTCTGCCAGGTCAGGCTCTGGGCTCTGTTGTCCTCTTGAGCCCTCAGGATCTCCAGCCTCAGGACTCTGGGGTCTACAGGAGACTGTGAGCTGACGCTTGGGGAGTGCAGAGCACACACTGGGCGACAGGAGGTAGACAGCTCAAGGAGGTCCAGAAGCCAGGATTCAGATAGAGGGGACTGTGGCCCGGTCCAGAGCAGGCGTGGGAGGTGGAACACTAGAGCAGGGATCCAGCACCGGCCAGAATAGAGCAGGTAGAGGCACCTTCCTATCTGACATTCTGGCTAGGGATCCAGGGGTCTTAACCTCTGAACGACCATTCCTGTGTTAAGTGACCCCAGCTGCGAGTACTAGAGCATAGAGGGACAGGAAGCTAGGCATGTTAGAGAGCCATTTTGTAGAATTAAAGAGTTGCGTTCAGCTGGAGAAAATTTATGATTACAGTTACAGCCATCGAGGGCAGGCATGACTGATTGTGACTTGTTTATAAAGGTAGAATATGCAAGAAAAGCATAGAGACGCCCAGTCGAGAAAGAAACTCTAGGCACACATCCTATTTCCATGTAAAGGATGACATTATTGATATTGTCCATCTACTATTATCATTATCACTCTCCCCGTTTCACGAAGTCCGTTAATAGGGGATCCATTTTCTTTCGTATATTTGTTAATTTAATTATATATTGGAAGAATAAGAGAATGAATTCGTATATTCCATCAGTATTTACTGATGTCAGAGATAAATAATCCTGCCTTCAAGAGGCTTAGAATCTAAAAGGGTCAGGATGACTAAAAACAGCACTGCAAGGACTGAGATCTGTCAAATGGATTGAATGGGCCAATAATATGGAAGCAAGAGAAACTTCCAACCAGAGAGAGCCGTGCAGGCCGACCCTGGGGACTGAGTAGGTGCAGCACATGCTGCTCTTCCAGGCAAGGCTTAGGAAGAGCCTGGGAATCCAGGCTAACCACAGCTCCTGCCTGAGACCCAAGGTAGTCTTTGATTTTTGTGATACTTTTAGATCCTCAAGGGAGGTGGGAAAGCATTAAAGAGGGTGGGATGGGACAAGGAGAATACTCAGAGAGATCCTGGGATTTGCCCCCTCCCTGCTTAACTGCCCATCTGAGAAACTTCATTCCTTTCAGATATATACCTGGATCGACAACTTTGTAACTGATCATTCAGATATTCTCTCAAAAATTCAGATTGGCCACAGCTTTGAAAATCGGTCCATTCTTGTTCTGAAGGTAAAAGCTAGCAGTGTTGACCACTAGACTGTACAGTGAGTGCCTCTGGCATAAGTTGAGCTCATATGGGGTTGTGGCTGGGTGGGAGTTTTAGGGAGAGAGATGTGTACACTCTTGTCCCGAGGTGACCCACAAGCTTTGGGATGGTGGTGTTCGGGGACCCACCCTTGTAGGTGTGGACAGGTGGTAGCGCAGTGACCTGGCATGTCTGGGTCAGGAATCTGGTGGGGGGGTTGCTAAGGAGATGGAACTGCAGAGTGCCAGTCATCACCTTGGACTTGGGATGTGAGTGTGAGTGAGTCAGCATTCTTCCTGTTACCTCAGTTGCTTCATCTGTTCAATGGGAAGAGCGGTACCCAGAGGCTTCATTTACAACAACTGAAGTCATCTGGCTCAGGCAGCCCCACAGACAGGCCTGAGTCTATGAGGACACCTTTCAGCCCTTCACAGGGGCCACTGGAAACAGAGCTCTAGTAAACTTGGCAGCAGCAGTGCCCTTGGCCATGAAGGAGGCAGGATGGGTGAGAGTGTGGAGCCTACGGGAAAATGATTCTTTGTGTGTGCCCTAAAGGGCACTCAGGAGCGTGGACCACGCAGGGCATTTGACATCCAGCTCTCAGAGAAGACAGGCACTGCAGTCCTCAACAATGCCCTGGGGGACTCTTCTGAAGGGTCAAGTGGTCTCATCTAGCTCGGGATTTGACTTCACCTGTGCCTGCTTTGATTTCCCTTAAGGGCTGTCTGTGTTCCCCCTTTAATGCTAAGACCTTGCTACTCAGTGGGGTCTTTGGACCAGGAGCAGCAGCATTCCTGGGAGCTTGTTAGAAACTCCCAGCCACACACCCCTTTCCAGATCTACTGAATCAGAATCTGCATTTTACTGAGCTCCCCAGAGGATTCACGTGCCCCTCAAAGTTTGAGAAGCACTAGTCTAAAATACTTTCAAACTTGGGAAATTCTGTGCCTCTGGCTGGATCACTTTGCTCTCCAAGAGCATCACTATGTCTCCAGGGCGCCCCCACACGTGTGCACTTTCTATGGGCTCATGCACAGGTACCTCCACCTACAGCCTCCCTCTCAGGAACATGGGGCCGCTCCAGGCAGTGAGGATACGTCTGGGGCCTCCTTCCAGGCAGTCTAGGGACAGCCCTGTAGCTGTTTTGGTTCAAACTTGTATGGGGTCCGGTGCTTTTCCCCAGTTCAGCACTGGAGGTTCGCAGCACCCAGCCATCTGGATCGACACTGGAATCCACTCCCGGGAGTGGATCACCCATGCCACCGGCATCTGGACTGCCAGGAAGGTCAGCACAGACCATGGGGGCTGGGCTGGGGGAATGGGGGCTGCTGAACTATTTAAGGCCACCTCCAGTTGAAAACTTAATTCGTGGTTCTCCTAACCTGGGGGGCTGTGTACGCTCCTGCCCTATGGAACAGCTGCCACGTGCTCTGGCCTTTTGCAGCACAGAGCCCCCAGCTGTCCTCTGCCTTCTAGTTGTTTAAAATCCAAGCCTTTGGTTCTGCACAAGGCTGAACCTGATGACTGGTGCCACCCCTGCCTGCAGCCACTGGCTGTACAGATGTCCTGCTCTGCTTCGGAGGAGAGCCCAGCAGGGCCTCCTGTCCCTCACCCTGTCCCCACCCTGCCCTTTCTTGCAGATTGTCAATGAATATGGCAAAGACCGCATCGTGACAGACGTACTGAATGCCATGGACATCTTTATGGAGATTGTCTCCAACCCTGATGGGTTTGCTTATACCCACAGCATGGTGAGAGTACCTGAGAGGGAGGGGGTCAAGGATCAGGGGTCAGCTCTGGGGGAATGGAGGAAAGGTCACTGTGGCTTTGGGATGCTTGGCTGAGGTTCCCTAGGGGCAGGCCCCGCAGGGGCTCCTTGCAGAGCCTCACTGAGGCAGACGGGCTGCTCAGATACTGTAGCTGCAGCTCTTGCCCTTCAGCCTCCCTCTTGCTGCCCAGGGAAGGCCACTGTTGATTGACTGTGCTTGGGCCTCTCTCCATACCCATGTTTAACCTCATAATACCCCAGGTTTAGCCACAAAGCATCTGATCTGCAGCCTTGGCCCAGCCCCATGCCAGCCTCATCCTGCCCCAGAGATTCCTTCCTTTTGCCCCTCCCTGGCCCGCCGGACCCTGCTTCCTAGACCAGGATGTCAGAGGCTCCCACCCAGGAATGGGCCCAGTGAATGAGGTCACCTGCCCTGCGCATTTTCAGAACTGCTTGTGGCGGAAGAACAAGTCCAGCAGACCCGGAATCTTCTGCATTGGTGTGGATCTTAACAGGAACTGGAAGTCAGGCTTTGGAGGTACTGCAGTCTGCTGCACCCAGGGGCAGGGCTGGAGAGGACTTGGTTCCTGGCACGTCTCCCACACAGTCAGATTATTTTGACTCATAACTGGGGAGGCAAAGCAGTTAGCTAATGCAAGTGAGTCATGGCCAGGGACAGGCAGGCACATGCCTAGGATTGGCCGTGAGGTATGCGGAGAGGTTGCATATGTCTGTTAAATGTATACATATGCTAAGCCTTCATGGGAAACAGCTCCTTGCCTGGGGACTAACTGCAAGGGTCAGATCCTAAATATGGCAGAGAAAGGCTTAAGGAGGTCCAAAGTAGTCTTGCTCATTGTTCAAACCCCAGAATTTGTGGTGCCCCACCCAAATATCTCTAGCCCTTCCTTGAATGGAGCATGCCACAAGAAAATGCCTCCAAATTCATTCCCTGAGACCTGTGACCCAAATTTTGCCCTCTGGGGAGGCCAGAACAAAGGTTCAAACATAGAATAAGCTAGTTCCTTATCATTAACACTGACTTGAGCCTGGCTTTTATTTTTGGCCCAATTACTTTGTGACCCTGGGCTGTTGGACTGTTGTTTACCTGCAGGGTTGTATCGTTCAAGGGAGGGGGTAGGCAGCTTCCTCCTGAGTTCCCTTGGTGTTCTTCCTGATTATCTCCCTTGCCACACGAGGGGCTTAGGGACTAGATGGGGAAACTGAGGCTTCCAGAAAGCCCAGAGATGAGTATGTGGACCCTGGGAATGCAGCAATTTGATGGTTGGGGTTCTGGGTCTAACCAGGAAAGTCTCCAAAACAGAGGGGTGTATGGGTACAGCCCTCAGCCCCCAGATATTGCTCCCACACTATACTGGGGAATCAGGGTTTGGCTCCACAGGAGACGATGCCATGCTGTTGGCTGCTCCTACCCCCTCGCCATGCTGTTGAAAAGCAGATCTGCAGATGGGAGGTCAAGCCCACGAGATAGAACATTCTAGATCTGGATGCCCATTGCTTTGAAAATCTGATTTGAGTCTGTTCTCATTGAAAAATAAGGACAGCTCTGAAGCATACAGAGCGAGGCCACCAGCCCACAGTGTAGGGGTTGCCTGAGAGTCTGGGGCTGTGTTTTAGCTGCTTGTGTAAGGGAACACAGCCACATAAAATTAGGTTTCCACCTCCAAATAACCAGACATTTGCCCCCAAGAGGGCATCCACGTGGGCCCCTCAGAACTGGCTGAAGGGAGTGCCCACGTACCCTGAGACAGACTGGCTAGAAGAAAGACAAATTACCTCTTAAAGAAAATAACTTTTGTGAGTTTCACCACAGGAAAAAGAAATCAGTATATATATATATATATATACACAATGTAAAAAAAAAATATGTGGGAAAAAAGCCCAGAGGGGACAAAAAGCTCCCATAATCCCCCTGCCCAAAGATTACTGCTTTTAATAATTTACCATGTCCTTCCAGTGAGTTCCCCTTGCTACAAATTACATTTTTAGAGAAGGAAAAATAAATAGCTAATGAATCCATTAGCAGGTACTTGTGAAACAGGCAGGCTCAGAGGACTTTGACTGTGAATGTCAGAGGCAGACAGCTAATTCCCATTTGGTCAGGGGAAGATTAGTTTATTCTGCCTAGCTCAAACCAGAACTAACGGCCTGAAGTGTTTCTCCATATTTGGGCAAAGCCACCTGGTCGTTGGCAGGGGAACCACTTTCCATGCGTGGGCTGCAAACGCAGACAAAGCTTGCAGCCTCCCTTGCTCTGCTCATCTGTTGCTATTTGTCATTCATCAAGTGTAGCAGGTGCAGAGGCTCCCAGCAGACACAACAAACAGGGCCACTGTTAGCTGGGCCAGCTCCAGCCTGTGAGGCTGCTCCTACCCCCTCGTTTCCTGCAGGCACATCCCCTTCTAACCAGGGTCAGTCCTTGCCCTAGGCAAGGACCCGAAGACCAAGAAGAGATGCGCTCCCAGGTGACAGAACTGCCTCTGGGCCTGCCTGTGGCCAGAAATAGCGAGTGTCTGGTTAGTGACTCAGGGGGGAAGATTTTGTTTATGGTTTTATTATTGCCTTAATTTAATTGCTGCATAAAGAGTAATCTGTAGATCATCCCTCCCCGCTGCCCTCACCTGCACCCTTGGGGAGGACCTGTTTGCTGCAGTCCTAGAGCAGCATCTGAACTGGTGGGCAAGACTCCCAGCTCTCTGGCCAGCTCACTGCCCTGAGGGGTGCTCTGGCATCCTCAGGAGGCTTCAGAAGTTGGGGCAATCTCTGGTCTCTGACTGGGCTTCTGTGCAGTCATTTCAGGGAGGAGGAGTGAGAGCAGGACCTGGGATGCTGTTTCCAGTTGTGTTCCTAACCCACAAATCGTGACCAGCCCAGCCTAGCCCTCCATGACCTGGCCCTTGGGGAGGGGAGGAAAACAGAAGAGGAAGAAAAGAGATGGGGAGCAAAGAGTCTAGTAGGAGATGGGAACAAATTAAATTTGTGAACGAAATAGAAGCACAGCTGCTCTTTGCCCTCTCTCCAACTTAGGTCCCCAAGAAGAATTTTCAAAGACTCTTTGCATCTGTGGTTCCCAGACCAGCCTTGGGCAACTATAGTGATCTAGTCTCTTTTTTCCTCCAAGTTCATGCTGTTCTTGGGCTATGGCTGTGGCAAAGCTTGAGCAGACAATAAGTCTGAGCACTCAACTGACCCAGGCCTTTCCCATGGCAGTGGAGGGTCAGCAAAGAAGGATCAGCTCAAAGGGGTCACTGCTTATAGGGGAGGCCAGGTTGGAGACCTACTGGCAACTGCTGAGGCAGGCCTGCTTTTCTAATGGAACCACAGTCAGGACTTAACCAAAGGACAAGCCAAGGGAGCTCCCTACAGGGCCACAGAGCTGCTGAGTCATGGCGTGGCAACACTCCTCTGATGTACTAGGCTAGGGTATGAAGCAGTAACAAATATCCCTCCAAATCTCAGTGGCTTAACACAATAAAAATTTATTTTTCATGCATACAAAGTCCAATGTGGGTAGGTGACCCTCCCCGACAGCTTTCTTCCACTGGTGACAGAGGGATCCAGGACACTTCTCCATTTAGAGTTTTTTCCTTCAAGCACACAGACAGAAGAGAGTGTCGAGAAGTCGCACTTGCTCTTAGCCTCCAACTAGAAGTGACACATCATCACTGCTCACATTCTCATTGGTCAAAAGTAGTCACATGACCGCAACCAAACTGCAAAAGAGGCTAGGAAATGTAGAGGAGTATAGTATATTTTGTGAGCACTAAGTGTCTTTCCCAAGCCTGGGAATTTGAACACTTTGGGTGCTTTGATTCTACTTCCAGGAAATGGTTCTAACAACAACCCCTGCTCAGAGACTTATCATGGGCCCTCCCCTCAGTCAGAGCCAGAAGTGGCTGCCATTGTGGACTTCATCACGTCCCATGGGAACATCAAGGCTCTGATCGCCATCCACAGCTACTCTCAGATGCTCATGTACCCCTATGGCCACTCTCTGGAGCCTGTTTCAAACCAGAAAGAGTTGGTGAGATTGGCTGCTTAGGGCTTGGGGGAGGCATCCAGCAGACTCCCAACAGGCCCCATGGTAGGGAGTGGGGGGTGGGGGGACTTGTTCTCACATGTGATCAAGTTCAAAACTGGAGGTGCTGTGCTTCCTTCTCACAAGAGCCATCTACATGTTCAACTTCCAAGGCTCTGAAGACCCTGCTTCTCAGCAGCTGGTGAGGGTGTGGGAGTGTGGGGAGCGCCGGCATCTCACTCTCTGGATTTAATCTTGCAGTACAGTCTTGCCAAGTATGCAGTGCAGGCCCTGTATGAGGTTCATGGGATCGAGTACATTTATGGCAGCATCAGCACCACCCTCTGTGAGTGAGCCTTCCCTTGTCTGTTGCTGCTTCAGGCACCACATCCACCTAGGGTCGGGCCAGGTGCAAGCTCTGCTGACTGGCAGGCCTGGTTGGCCACAGGGTTGTGCCATAGATCTAGCTGGGCTGGGCCAGAGCTGATTTCCACATTTGAATAGAAGGGTGAATGGCGGTACCCAGACACAGACACCTGTTTCTTTGCAGCATTAATTAGTGCCTATCTCCCAATGCCTGGGTTACTGCAATGTTCTTTGAGGGTAAATATCCCAAGTCTGGTGGCCTCCGGAAGCTTTCTTTTTGCCAGGGCAGAGATTGGGCTGGATGAGCAGCGTATGGCCCAGGTTGAGGCCTGGGCCAGGAAGCTTGGTGTGGTCTGGAATGGGTGGGAGTTTGGCCCCCAGGGCCCACTGTCCTCTCAGGATGCCTCTGTACCTTGTGACCACACCCTGTTCTTCCTTTTGGGGGCATTTCTTTGCCCTTTTGTATCCAGATGTGGCCAGTGGGATCACTGTCGACTGGGCCTATGACAGTGGCATCAAGTACTCCTTCACCTTCGAGCTCTGTGACACGGGGCACTATGGCTTCCTGCTGCCAGCCACACAGATTATCCCCACAGCCCAGGAGATGTGGATGGCCATTCGGACCATCATGGAGCACACGCTTAATCACCCCTACTGACAATACTGCTGAGGGCAGAGCCAGAGGGTTTGTCTTCTTTCCCAAGGCCTGGGCTCCTCCTGAAACCCAAGTTATGGATCCCTTCCCCACCCCTGCCCTGACTCCTTAGGAAATAAAAAAAATTTGAAGAGGCTTGGTGGCTTCTGGCACTGACTGCCACCCCTTTGGGCTCAGCATTGAGGAGGGGACAGGGGCCTTGGAAATGCCTCTTCATTCCTCAGGTATCCAGGCGGACAGGGGGACTAGCAGCCCTTCTCTTTTCTCCTCTTGAAATGTTCTCGGGGCCTAGAACAGATAGCACACCCCCTGGAGCGACAAATACACGCACTGTCCCTTTGGTATTTACATTTTAAGTGAGCCTGGAGGGGACAGTATTTGATCTGAGGGAGTGGATCTCCAGTGGTGGTGTTTCTGGCACCCGGAGCGAGGGGTGGGTACAGACAGGCAGCCTCCTCCTCTTCCTGCTTCATTTCCCATGCTGGGTAGGGAGTAGACGCACATTTCAGAGTCCTCCATTCAGAAGATCCCTCTCACCCTGTTAACGAAAGTGAAAAAGTTACTGGTTTGTGACCTGCTCTTCCTGGGCACCCTCACAGCCTCCCTTGGTCTTGGGAGCAGAGTCGCAGCCAGTCAGAGCCAGCACAGCACAGCACTGCACATCCAGAGAGAAGTCCTCTTTTTCCTCCTCACGATAATCATCGTGGTTGTCGTGCACTGAGAAGTTAGTTTAGGCAAGGCCATTTACTTTATCTCAGGGAGAGATTCTGAGATACAAATGAGGTCCCTTCCCCCATCCTCAGGCTTCCTTGTACCTCTTGCCTTCCCCCAACACTGGGCAGCCGGGATAGTGGGTGGGTCTGTTTGCCCTGCTTTCAGGGGAAGGCAAGTACCCCCGAGAACAAGAAGTCAACTGGAGAGCTGAATGGGCTTGTGTAAGTCTGAGGCAGGAAGCAAGACTTTCATTTGCAAAAGCCAGACTTTAGTAATTGTTGTTGCTGAAGGAAAGGATTGTGGATACCCATGAACTGGCGCCTGCAGGACATGGGGTGCAGAGTTTTACAGACAGGGAAGAAAGCGGGGGAAAATAGGAACAAGTCCCCCTTTCCACCCAACCTGTAAAAGAAGACAGAAGTTGGACCAGCTAACGGAAAGAGGGGATCAGTGGTGATCAAAACTCTGGGTATGGGCCATGTCCAATATGGCGGCTGAGCCTCAGATTAACAGTGGCTGAGCAAGGGCTCTGGACAGGTGATTAGAGGCAGCCATATGGCTGGGTACACATCAGTAATGCAGCTGTTGAGAGCTCTTAGCAAAGAAATGAGAAGGTTGGCGGGTAAGAAGGCTTAGGGTAGAGGCAAGAAGGCTTAAGGTAGAAGCAAGTAGGCTGAGCCGAGGGGCCATGCAGCCAGCAGCCATGATGGCACGGTGGGCATCAACTGGGCATGCCTGTGCCCAGGACCAGCTGTTCCGTGTGGGAGGCCTGAGAAATCAGGGAAATGAACCCCTGAAGAACCTAGATCATTTCCAGGGGAAGGGCCAGTGACAGAAGATGAAAGAATCCTGACTCGGGCTAGAGTTTCCCAAAAAAGATGAGTTTTTTTAGAGCTGGAAGTGGTCTAGAATTTCCAAGCTGAAGTTTTCTGCTATTAACAGAAACCCGAGGTCATGGGCTAAGTTAGATAAATAAAGCAAGTCATACTTTTGCAAACTGGAGTCTGTGATTATAACTTTTATGCCCTTTGCACAAATATTTTTATTTCATCCTGAGGGGGAGGATATTACCGGTATTAATAAGCTTATTAATAAGCTCAGATAAGGAGAGCGTGATTTGGAGAAGTTTTAAAGGCCACAAAAGGCCATATAGATTGAAAGTTGAGGGAGATTTGAACTTGGGTTTGTCTAACTCCAAACCCACCATGTCACCATTTATCCAAGCGTGGCCTGTGGCAGAATCTATAGGAAGTCATTTAACATAAAGATGTTTGGGTTCCACCCCCAGGCTGAAACAGAATCTCTGGGGTGGACCCCCAAATCTGCTTTTTTTACCATCTTCCCCAGAAATTCCGAGGTCCCTTAAAGGCTGAGAATCTCTGATCCCTGCTTTCCTGCTTCCCAGAAGGAACACGTTCAAGTCTTCTAGGGGGAGTGGGGCTTTGGGCCTCCTACCCTCTGCCATTGTCTATTAGGGCTGAAGGTGACTACAGCAGTGGGAAGCCAGTCATCCTTCCCCAAAATATTCCCAAGGGGCTGCCTTGACCCTAGCCAAATGCAGTGTGGTCTGCAGACCACAGGCATCAGCATGACCTGGAAGCTTTTTGGAAATGCAAATTCTCAGGCCACCTCAGCCCTACTGAATCAGAGTCTCTGAGGATGGGACCCAGGTGATGCTAATGCCTAGTTGGAGAAGTATTGCCTTAGAGGCAGGAGTATGTGGACGCTGATGGGCTTCCCAGTAACAGTGAAAATAATAAACTCTTTTCTGGCACATAGTGTGCAGCAGGCATGGTTCCAAGGATTCAACACATTGCCTCCTCACAGCTCTAAGAGGTAGGACTATTTTTTTTAAAATAAATTTATATATTTAATTTTTGGCTGCGTTAGGTCTTTGTTGCTGTGCGCAGGCTTTCTCTAGCTGCGGTGAGCGGGGGCCACTCTTTGTTACAGTGTGCAGGCTTCTCATTGCAGTGGCTTCTCTTGTTGCAGAGCATGGGCTCTAGGTGCACGGGCTTCAGTAGTTGTGGCACGTGGGCTCAGTAGTTGTGGCACGTGGGCTCAGTAGTTGTGGCACGCGGGCTCAGTAGTTGTGGCGCACGGGCTTAGTTGCTCCGCAGCACGTGAGACCTTCCTGCACCAGGGCTCAAACCCGTGTCCCTTCCATTGGCAGGCAGATTCTTAACCACTGCACCACCAGGGAAATCCCGAGGTAGGACTATTACTGTCCTTATTTTCAGATGAGGAAGCTCAGGCTCAGAGAGGACAGTGGCTTTTAAAAGGCACATAGCTACTGAGTGGCAGGCCTGGGACTGGCCTGCAGGTGACCCTGAGTCATGCCCAAAGCCCTTCAGGACCAGGGCCAGGAACTTGTTGCACAGATCTCTGTGCAGCCAACAGGCCCACAGAAGTTGGGGCTGAAACTGCTTTCCAGATGGGGGTCTTCTTAAAAGGCAATTTTTTCCTTAAAATCCTTCAGTGACTTAAAATAAAACCCGCCCAAGGCGTCGCATGGCTGGCCCTGCTATAGGCCCTACAAGGTGGCTGGCCCTCTCTCACCTTGTTTCAACGCCTCATTCATCAGCCCCAACCTCACCAGCTTTTTCTCAGTTCCTTCAGCTCCTTCCCAACTAGGGGCCTTTGTATGTGCTGCTCCTCCTTGTCTGGAATATTGTTCCCTCTTACTCTTCCTTCGTGTGGCCCACTCCGTAAAATTTCCCCTTCAATTTCATTGCTTCACTAGTCCTTCTAGGACCACCCACTGGAAGTAGATCTATTATTTTCTTTTCCTGAGCCTTATTTCTTTCTTTGATAGCAGTGATAATCATTAATTGGCTTCTTTATTTGTTATTGTCTCTACTGCTAGTTTGAGAGCCTATGAGGGGAGCGACCGTGTCTGGGTTATTCACTCTCAGGTCCTGTCAGGCACACAGTAGGTGCTCAAGATTCATTGAAGGGGGGTGTTTCTTCTCCTCAGCCTAGTGCAGATTACAACTAGGTTTAGCGTATGTGGCAGAAACCCCCCTTACTGTGGCTTAACCAGATCAAGCTTTTGTTTCTCTTACAGAATAAGCCATCTGCGGTGGGCAGTGCAGGGCTAGTTCAGTGACTCCTTGATGCACTGGGGACCCAGACCCCTCTGGCCTGTTCTGTTTTGCCACTTTCCTACCATTTTGACCCCTAGCCTGTTGCCATCATATGACTGAATTCCAGGCAAAAAAAAGGGTAAGGGTAAGGGGCAAAAAAATGTGAGCCAGCTGAATTGGCCATCCATGGGCTTAAACTTACATCTTATTGGCTGGGACTGTGTCAGGTGACCACGCCCAGCTGCGAGAGAGGCTGGGAAGTTGCTTTATAGCTGGACACATTACTGACCCCCCCAAAAATTGGAGTTCTGCTGGTAAGGAGGAAGGGGAGGATGGATATTGGGAAGGCAGCCAGCAGCGTCTGTTGCAGCTTCTCTGATGGGAGAGAGGATTTGAAGGGGCCTTTGAATCCATTTCTTTGCTCTAGCTCATCAAGTGACTGACTTTATCATAAAGCCATAGAATTTTCCAGATGAAAGGGTCCTTTGAAAGCTTCTAATCCAACCCTTTGCAGTTATAAAGACTGGGGGCCTCCGGATCATCTAACTTACACAAGGCCCCACATGAACCTAATGGCTGAGAGAAGCCGGGGATCGTCCTCCTAGGACTGAGGGGTCTCCTCAGCAAGCCCAGGGGGGTGATGGCTGGGGATTTAAGCTTATCAAGTAAAAGCTCAAGACTTAGACATGCAAGTTTTGAAGATATTACAGAATAATCTCTTTTTCATAAAACTTGATTTCCCCCCACCCTCATTTCTTAGGTATATAATGCTAAACAAGAATTTATTTTTCTGCATTCTGCTTGTTTTTTTTTTTTTTTTCCTCCCAACAAGCTGTCCTTTTTTGGTATGTTTTTTCATCCTTTTCACCAGTAAAATTTATGAGCATTTATTTAAAAGAAAAAAACATTGGAAAAACTGAAGAGAGAAAGAGCGATTATACATATGGAAAGCTATAAAGAACCACAGTGAATGTGCTGTGGTTATTGCTTTCTTAAAAAAACAAACTAGGCAGGCAGTTTGGAATGTGAAAGAGTCCTGTGTGAGGGCAGGGCAGGCGGCAGAGGCCAAGGGTGATGCACTAATGGCTGGGGTCCTGGGAGTCCCGTGAGGTGCTGTCCATTTCCCCTGTCCTCCTCCATCTCCCCTCTGACCACCCCATACAGGGCCAGAGAGAAAATGAATTTACTGAAAAATAAAATTAAAAATTAAAAAGCTTCTTTAGAAAAATAAGAAGGCCCAGGCAGCCACTTAGTACAAACTGA